TTTCAAACCTTGCTTCCTCCTCGATCCCTGATAACCCTCCGAGGCGTCTGAAAAGAAGATGGCCTCGTGATCTACTTATGTAAATATATTGTTAGAGTGCTACCAATGGCTACTTTCTCAACAAGCGTTTTCATGTGATTGTATTATTACTGTGTGCACATTTACTAGTTCTTTTTTTTTTTTTATAAAGCAGTGGTAAATATCAATGAATTAAAAAAAACATTTATCGAGAGTAAATAAAATCTCTGTTTGATTTGGGGAATGAACGATATTACACAACCTAATTGGTTGGAAGAAAGCATATCTCAATAATGAAATAAGGGTGTATAATATCATTATATCAACGGCACAATAAAAGAGGTATTCTTGACTGATCCTACAGAACACAATACGTATAAAAGTTTTATTAGCAGGCTTACCCTTCAAGAAAAAATTAATCATAATACTAGATTATAATAACGTACTTATCCCATGTAAATTTCGTAAATAATTTTATTAAATTTAATTTTCTGCTAAACTTTTTATTCATATTTCTGCTAAAATATTTTATTCAATAAATTTTATTCATTTATTGAAGAATTTTAATTTGATTATGAGTATTTGGTTGCGTGCTATTGGCTTTCAATGGGTTTTGTTTTTCTGCCCTGCTCATAAGGGCTCACTATCGATTTGAGTCAATATCGAATGCCGCTAATATACTGGTCGCGTAAGAGACACATTGTGACAATAAATTTACGCATATTGACTGGCATAAAATGTTTTGGGTTTTTATTGAAAGTCTTTCAAAGTTATTTAAGGAGTGTCAATAAGTGTTGGCGCGTGCAAAGGAAGAAAACAAATGTTTTAATGTACAGAAGCAGACGGGGATACCTGATACCGGGGACGCCGACCATCTGGAGCGTTCCCCACTTTTTAGAATTTGTTTTTTGTTTATTTTTTTATTTATTCATTATATTTACAAGTGTATTAATAAATAAAATACATTTAGTAAATTTGATAACAGAAAACAATAACATGAAATCACTTGTTGAGAAACTACCCACTGATAGCACTCTAAAAACAAAATGTATTTACAATAGGAGATCTCGAGTCCATCTTCTTTTCAGACGCCTCGGAGGGTTATCAGAGATAGAAGAGAAAGCAATGTTAGAAACGAGAGGATTCGGATGGTTCTGAAGTTTATTATGGAAGGATTAGAATCTGGATTGGGCCAAATCGGAAACATAAGGAACATTAAGATCATTATGGATTATTTTATTGGTGTCAAATTAATGAGCATTGAGGATTTTAAGAAAGATTTTGGGATTGGATATGAGAGGAATTCGATGGCTTAGTGGAGCCCCGAAGCTCAACTCCGTAAGTCCAAATAGGTCTTATTGTAGTCATGTATATGAGTCTTTTGTAATTAACTGAAAGCTTAGAGCGTTTATCCAGTAAGTGTTGGAGTAGTCGGAAACGTCGAGTGGTTTCTTGTCTTTTCAGTCTGGTATGAGGATTCCAAGTTAGACGTTTGTAAAAGGTATCGGATTTGTTCAACAGGGATAAGTGGGGTATTATCAAAGGATAATGTGGGACATGAGGTCATAGGTTTACGGCGAAGGGTAAAGGTGATTTGATGGGATTTATTAGAATTTATTTTATAAATTTAAATTTAAGAATACAAAACGTATTAAAATAATTAATTTTAACTTATTAATAAAACAACTGTATCAGAGACATATTGAATGAAATAAAACTCAAATACTGCATAATATAAAAAAGCTCAAGAAATATATTTATTTTTTTTAGAGGGGATGGTGATGATGTCATTGCCCGGGGGCACCGAATGTCTAAAGCCTGTACTGAGCAGACTTTGCAGATCACTTAAACGAATAGGACAAAAACGTACTTCTTTGGGGAAAATAAGATCATAACTGGTATAATATTGAAGCATGTGATGCATCTCAATTTCAGTAAATTGCCTTATATCACTGGCAGATTTATGGGGGGACTTTCGGGCCGAAGTCCCCCCTCCCCTCCAAATGGTAAAATATAACCATGTTTTATAGGAAAAAATATTAAAGACTATCTCTTAAACTATTATTGTTCGCGGAATTAGTTTCTTTCTTTTTTTTTCAAATTAATTATCGTTATATATATATATATATATATATTATATATATATATATATATATATATATATATATATATATATAAATCCTTCGGGCTGAAGCCCCCCCAAAATTAAATCCTGGATCCGCTAGTGCCATATATTATATTGCTTCAATATTATTGACAGTGTAAGGAACCCTTTAAGCATTTTCGAAATTCCTACTCCTCCTTCCTAAAGGCTGTTATCAACAGACTAAAAGACGTAATCATCAAAAATATGCAATCTTTCCTCTGAGCCATTGGAGTAGCATGCTTTCCCATCGTGTATCGGACCTGCCGGAGCTATAATAACATTATGTTACGATTTCATAATGTTACAATAATAGAAGCAGTTAAAATTGATATATTCTTAATCCTATATACTATTTCTAAAAGGTGTTTTTTTGTCGGTACGCCATTACTTCGTCAATTCTTCATCAAATCCAATGATTGACCACTCATTTTGAAGATATTCTTCTCCTTTACATGCGAAAAATAATCCTATCCTCCCGAAATTTCTGGAAAAAGGTTATGAAGGAAAAGGAACTTTATTCGCGAATAACTAAAAATGTATGCATTTTTTCTGGATTGTATTCATAATAATTAGAAAGTTAACTAAATTACCTACAAAACAAAAAAAATCGGACAATTATTAACAATGATACAGTCCATTAGTTTTGGTATACTTAATAAGGTCTTCCTGTTTAAAAATATTGCATTTAGGAGTTATTATTTATTATTTCTTAAAAGTATTTGTTTGTTCTTACACTTTATTTTTTAATAATTTAGAAAATCCCATGATCGGGGCATTATTCGGTTTTATTACTTTTATTTTCTTTACAGTCTGTGTTTAAAAATAGGTCCTAACAAAGCAATTTGTACAAATATTTTGGTCTGTTGTGTTAAGTGGAATATTGTAATAGACCAAGAAAAAAACATGAATTCCTTCCTCACATAATACATACGATCTACTTATTTCCATATTGTTTTTATATTTCTTCACTAACCAAAATTTTCTGCGAATTATTCGCACGGGCCAACTAATTTTCTTTATTTCCGTTTTTCGTTCTCATACTATTCTTAATATTAATGTACAAGACATATAAGTATAATTATTTCTCTTTTACATTTGTAAAGTCCGGATAATTTTCAATATAAATATGTACATCTTAACAAAGCCATTATTATATATATATATATATGTGTGTATATATATATATATATATACATATATGTGTGTGTATATATATATATATATATATATATAATATATATATATAACAGTAATTATCTTAAAAATCTTAAACTAATATATCTTTTTTGGTGGGATCCTTCTGGATTCATTTACCTTCCCCAACATGATTTAGGATTGAAGACACCGCAAACAAAATAAAATAATTTTTTATTTAATACATTTAAATATAAATAAGTACATGTAAATACACACACACATATATATATTTTTAAAAAATTCTTCTATTTGTTTGCGGGGGCTTCAGTCAGAAATCATGTCGGGGAAGGTAAATGAATAAGGATCACATCAAAAAAGATATATCTGTTTAAAATGTTATGACATTTCAATTAAAGTTTTTTTTTTTTTTTGTTTAATAATAACACAAAACAATTTCTTTTTTTGCAGGAAATTTCCTCAAAATTAAATTTATAATCGTTATATATAAAGGTTTAAGTGTTAGCAGTAGTCTGTTATATTTTTTAACTTTGATTTTGTTTTATCACACAGTTCAACTGCCACGTTGCAAAAACATGTTAAAAAAAAACATCTAAAATTATTAATGAGACGAAATAAACCATATATTTTGTAATTATGAACTAAAATTATTACTAGATACTTAAGGTAGTGATGTTATGTTTCAAATAACGTGGTTTATATTTCTGAATACAGCTTTCTTGCACAGGCGTATCTACGGGAGAGGGGGGAAGGGGGCTTTCGGGCTGAAGCCCTCCCACAATGGTAAAATATAAACATGTTTTACAGAAAAAAATATTAAAAACTATCTCTTAAAGTATTCTTGTTAGTGTAATTACATTTAATATGATTTCAAGAACCACTTAAACACCATTTCATAGATTTAGTTAATTTCTTTATTTTTTTTCTAATTAATTATTGTTATACGTATATGAAAAAAAATCTTTCGGGCTGAAGCCCCCCCCCCAAAAAAAAATTAAATCCTGGATCCGCTAGTGCTTTCTTGTAAAACTACACTTACAGACATTTTTAACGTGTCTGTCCAGTTGTTAGAGGCTATTAATTAAGAGATAACTTATAGGTAATTTTTAAGGAAATGTTGAAGTATATCACTTTTCTGTACTAAATTAAGCTCTTAATTAAGAATTGAGCTCATTTAACATAAGTGAGGAAATGTGCTACAGATGATCTTTGTCACATTTTTACAGGACTGTTCGCTGCGGTGACCATTGCTAATAATTTTTATAAACTCACAAAAAAATTTTGCATGAGGTGTGACAGGGCCACTTCCCTCGACACGATCCTTAGTATAAGATGTCTATTATTGTCTACATTCCAGTGGATTGACATCCATACGCGACTGTTGGCGGATGCGAAGTGAGTGGAAACTAGAACAACCTCTTGAGGGAGAAGCAGTCTGAAGTGAGCATTGCATTTGAAAAGAGCCTGTGGCGCAGGTTTTAAAAGATTTTAACAGATTTTTTTTCACCATAAAGCACAATGAGGCTGGTATGGACAAATGGGACAAAAGGCAGAAAGATGAATAGTTGGGCAGTGTAGAGTTAATATTCATCCTTTCCTTTCAGACTCCTCACTCAATACAGAATACCCTTTCAATTTAGTTATATTTGAAAAAGCATATGATGTATTATATTTTTTGCAGGCTGGTGGTGGTGCTGTCGGTTGCCTGGGTGGCATGTTCAACCTCTTCCTTGTCTATCAGCCACCAGGATCTGGAAGAAGGCAATAGGTAAACACAATAAACTTAAAAATATAACTAACAACAAGAATATTGTTCCACTATTATATCGATACTATGATATTAGTGTTTGGGACAGATATTTCAATTAATGGTAAATACTTTGTTGATTCAGCCTACATATCCTAAAAAAAAAAAGAGTCCATCAAAAAAATGTTTTTTTATTAAACGCGTACAATTTTTTTAGATATTAATAAAAATATTTTTTCTACTACTGGTAATTCGATGTAAAGAGTTTCGGCAGTATATTTTGCATGATCAAATTTTTACTCAAGATTTTTTTTTTTTTGTCTTTTAACATAACAATTTCTTAATAATCAATACAAAGTACTTTCCTTTTTAAATAATAGTTTATCTAGCAAACAGACTATTTCAAAATTATTGTTAAAAAGTAGCTTTTAAAGAAAGAATGAGTCCCGTTTTCGAATAAAAAAATCAAGAATATACAATCTAAAATTTACGGTTTTATTTAAATATGAACGTTTTTTTATTATTTGAAATATTCAGTCTTAATTTTATTTAAGTTATTTATCATTTAAATTATTTTCCAGCTCAAATTCAGCAATTTTTTTTTCAGACAAGTATTACATTTTTTTCAGACCTCCAAAATTAAATTAATTTTCATCTTGTTTATCAACATTCCAATTCTCAACATTTTGAATTTCATACCATTTGCAAAATGATATTTTTTTTTCATATGTGTATGTATGTGAACAGTCTAGCTTAAAAATGAAAGATAATACGAAACTGAAATTGCTTATTTACAAATGTTAAAGCAACATTTTCGTCAAAATCGACTAACCAGAAGTCTCCCTTTATATCATTGATTTTACATAGTTTTACAATTTTCTCAAAGACGGCTCATACGATTTCGCTTAAACTCAATAGGTCAATGTATATTATTAAGTGGATTTCAATTTAAGATAACTTTTATCATCACCAATGTAGCCTGGCAGGTCTTAAATGGCAAATCTTGAAAATAGTACCTCTGATTTTGTTTATTTGAAATAATTAACCATTTCACATTCCTTACTTACTCCCGGCGTTACAGGTCCGATAGACCTTTGCCCATCCCCCCAAGATCGATGGCGCAAAAAAAAAAAAAAATCTTCTCCTTCCCAAGATATTTTATTTCCCACCTTTTCTTAAAAACAGAGCAAGCGTATGTAGAATCAGAAAAAATGGTAGATCATAATAAACAATCACACTTCCTGCGATCTGTTCCATGCTGTCCCTTGGCCTTTAGTTTGAAACTTTTCATTCCGAAAATTCATAACCCCATCGAGATGTGCCCTCCTCAAAACTTCGAAAACCCGTAAAAAGTGCCCCCCTCAAAAAATTTGAGGGCGCAACTTGCGCCATGAAACCCCCTTCTGGGCACCTCCGCCCTTGGTTTCCTGAATAAGCTTCTGCCACTTGTTTCTATCTTATGCCTCTCTTATTTCAGTTGCGGATTCCTAATGTTCTCAAGTCTCCACCTCATCCTCCCATCTACTTCTGGGTCTTCCTTTTCTTCTTTTGCCCGTGAAAATAGTCTGCAGCAATCGTTTTTGCAATCTATTACCTCCCATTCTGGTCACATGCCATGCCCACCTCAGCATTGCAGCTTTTATAAAGTAAACAATATTCTCATTTCTCTATAAACCCTAAATCTCAGCGTTGTTTCTAACTCTTCACGGAACATCTACTTTTTTATGCTATAAATTTTTCTAATATTTTGTCTTTCGAAAACGTTTTTGACAAAAATTTCTGGCAATCTTCTTCCGACAAGCACCAAGTTTCTGCGACATATGTAAAGACTGGACGAATAAGAGACTTGCTTCGCTGCTTTTGACAACAATTGCGATTTGAGTAGTTTGAGGTTGGTACAGTAGGCTCTGTTTCCGGCCATGAATCTAGCTTCAATTTCACGACTAATGATATTTTTAATATTTAATGAAGAACCCAAATATATGAAGTTCGGAATGGTTTCAAAGGTAAGGTTTAGATTTTTTAAGTGATTCAATTCAATGATTCTTTTTTCGAACGCTGACATTTTTAAGCACTTTGTCATGTTTTGTTTAAGCACTTCATTAATCCTTAGCCCTACCTTACATCCATTTGAGAACAAGATCATCTGCATAACCACAAAGTTGCCTTGTTTTATTGACGATAATTCCACTTTTAGTCTCATCTTTAACTGCATCATGCATGATTATAATTAATAATATTAAGGATAGGGCATCCCCTTGCTTGCATTTCAAACATTTCTTCTACATAATTACCAATCATAACTTTGGAAGAAGCGCCAACTATAGTCATCCGTATCAGGTTTATTAGCTTAATGGGGATTCAAAATTTTTTCAAAAATTAGACCTTTTAATACTAATCAGATTCCTGCATATAGTCGATAAATAGAATGTGCAGGTCAATGCCATATTCATATGATTTTTCGATTGGTTATCGGAGAACAATGATTTGGTCTGTGGTGCCTCTATCAAATCTGAATCCACATTGATAATTTGGAGTATTTATCGATTATTTCCACAGTGTATCTCCTGAGCCTTCTAAGGATTATTGTAGACATCACTTAATATAGTATTCATAGTAATTTGATAACTCAATAACCCGACCTTTCTATCTTCCTACCTTTCTGAAAAACGAGGCATATTAGTCCAACTGTCCATTCCTTTGGTATCAGCTCCTGGTTCCATGCATCACAAATTAATTCATATATGAAATCCTTCATTCTATCACTGCTATTTTTTATAAATTCCGCAACAAGTCTATCTCCTCCCAGAGTTTTACAGTTTTTTAAATCCTTGATAGCCAATGCTTCATCATGTCTGTCTGGATTTTCAAAGAGTGAATTGTGGATATCATATCAAATTTTCCTCCGCAGAATGATGATATGGAGAAATATCATCATTCCGCTGTATATTTAGCAATTTCTGAAAATATTCATTCCATCTTATCATAATCTCGCACTCTCCGTCCAAAGCCTCACCTGCTATACTTTTACAATTGTTCAATTTCGGTTTACAGGCTTTCCTGAACCAATTTATCCCTTTGTAAAATTTTCTGCTTTCATGCTCTTTATTCATCCTTTCTATATATTCCAGGCGGTTTTTAATTATCTTTTCTTTTTCATCCCTACATATTTTTTTAGTTTCTCTTCTTTTAATACAATATGTCTCATGATTTTGTCTCGTATTCCTCTGTAATAATTGATGCCTAGCTTGATTTTTCAATTTTATTTCTTTCTCACACTTCTAGTTAAACCATTCACTATTTCCATCGTCCTTCACCTCTCCTATCGCCTCTTCTGCTGCCTTGCATAAAGCAATCTTTACAGTTTTCCATTTCCCTTCTATCCCTATGCTATCATTTCATTCTTCATTTTTTCTTTGATTTTCAATTTCTTTACCTATACTTTCATGAAACTTTTTGAGTTCTTCCTCCGATTTAAGTTTATCTGTGTTCCATTTTTTTCTATTTATTGTGTCTGTTCTTTCCAGCATGGCTACTATTTGACTCAGTCTTACTTTCACCAGATAGTTATCAGAATCATAATTAGGGCCTCGCATGCTTCTTATATCAGTAATATTTGAAGAATGTCATTATAACCTGGTTATGAAAAAATACTAAATATAAACTATGAAATAATTTCATAATTATCTATAGGAGAAATAAGGGATCATAATAGAGGACCGAAGAAATCCGAACGCGCCCCCGAGATTGGCTTTATGGTTGCGACAGGCTTCCATAAATGCACATATAACACGCAAGCACAACACATTCAATACGTGCTTAATATAATATGAGCTCCGTTTTCATAAATGAATGGTATCACTATTCATAAATTCATAGGTGCGTTGGTATTATATAATATTTAATTGTGTAGATTACACCTATATAAAAATTAAAATTTATATATACTAGTACTTAAACAATAAAAATTAACCAACTATGAAATACAAATAAATATTACGGCCATCCTTATCAATGGAATCTTGTCGGACTATGAACGTTTCGTGGCACTTATAAATTATTTTAATTAAATAAATAATTAGAATATGGAATCGTAAAAGGACATGGTTCTTGACAAAAATACATAACTATAATACAATAGACGGCTGTGAGAAACATAACAATTTATTTATTTAAATAATATTTTGCACATTTTGTAATTTTTACTTTCACTTCTCTTTATCTGCAAATATCTATTTCTGCTAACAGAAGGGAATAGTGAACGTTGTGTGATGCGCTCACAGCGCGAAATTTTTTAAAAATTTTAACACTTCTTATAATAATCAGGAACGAATTATGATTTTTCTTTTTTCGTCCCAACGTTTAATGAAGGTTCGGTAAATTTAGACAACCGAAGAGAGTAACTTTAACTTTCTAGAATGAATCGTCTAAGTTTCTGGGATAATTATTGTTAGGATTACCACAATCATATGTAACATTTTGGTACAAAATAGCAATCAAATAGTTAGTAATACCAACATTATTCGCCTATTCTGTATTCATGCAAATTTTTATAATTTTCAAAATCGAATAATTGCTATAAATAAAAGTTAAACATTTTTCTCTTTGAAGATTGCAACTTCCACCTTAAGTCTGAAGATAACACTTGAGTAATAATTTATTCTTAAACGATTACAATATTGCTAATTGTCTAATACGTGCCTATATTTATTACAGGACGTGCGATGGTAGAGAAAGCTGTGAAGATGTACATGAAGAAACGCATGGACCAACGCTGTGGATGGGAAGAAACTGCCTTTGTGACGAAAACTGCGTCACTTATGGAGACTGTTGCCCTGATTCACCACACTTCGAGCTGCAACAACAGCGGCGTGGCGCGATATCTTTCCACTGCGAGAATTTGCGCCAGTATGGTGGCATCTACATGCGCACCACCTGTCCTCCAGAATGGGCCGAACCAAATATTCGGGCAGCCTGCGAGAATGCCTCCGATAACGTCAGTGACCCGATCGCTGGAATACCGGCAACTCATCCGCAGTCAGGTATCACCTACCGAAACCTTTTCTGTGCCATCTGCCACCAAGTTACGATTAAGGAACTGGACTTCTGGCATCCCAGAATCGAGTGTGCTGGCATACCGCTTAAAATGAATCAAAATGTCAGCGAACTAATTTATTTCCACGAAGAGAATAAATATTGGGGTATTAATTTCGAAGGTAGATACCATCCTTGCTCTATCGATCCCACGCCACCAAATGCGACAGAAACATTGATCCGTCGTTGTATACCGGATGTGATAAAAACTTGTGCAGTCAATTGGACTAATGCTGAAGTTCGTACAAGTTGCGAAGCTTACACGTCCATAGTCTACTTCGGCGATAATGTGTACAGGAATCCACATTGTGGTATCTGCAACAGTGTCCCGGTTCAAATGCTTCAATGCAATAGACTCTTATTCAGGGGAGGCTTTGATAAACATTTCAGCCTCAGTGCTTTCTCTGTTTTATTCGATCTTAGCGGTGGGCCGCCTGGAATGACCCAGCCCTGTGATGAAGACCAACTTTATGACCCTTTTTACAAAAAGTGTCGCAACGTTCTGCAAGAGTTTCAAACGCCAAAATATAATAGAGCAACTGATGTCTCCTTGAAATGCAAGAAATTTGTACTACAACAAGATGATTACTTGGTCGATGATAATTTTGTATATGTAAGCAAGTATAGAAAACGATTTAGAGAGGGTGAGTTCAATATCTACGAAGACGGTAGGCTGGAAATTTGCGCAGACAAAATCGGTATTATGTTGGTTGAGAAGTTCGATCCCTACATGGGTTATATCACTTTCGCGGGGCTTGGGGTCTCCATAATATTTTTGCTTCTTCACCTGGCCGCTTTCTGTCTCGTTCCAGATCTGAGGAATCTCTCTGGAAAGAACATGGCCTCTTTGTGCGTGGCACTACTGATTGCATATACTTCCTTTGTAGCTGGTCGATTTTTCAAAGGGAATGTATGTCTCGTCATAGCCGTCCTTACATTTTATTCTTTCTTAGCATCTTTTACCTGGATGTTAACGATGTCATTTGATGTATGGCGTACTCTACGGCTGGCTACATCAGAACTACGGGTTTGCTCTGGGAAACAATGGCGCAAGTTTATCGCCTACTCTTTGTGGTCTTGGCTGGTACCAGTATTCATAGTGTTGATGGCTCTTTGGGCAGAGCTCTCGCCAGGGATTGGAGCTGATTGGAGACCAGGATTCGCTGCTACCAACTCCTGCTGGTTTGGCCGCAGCAAGCCCTTGCTGATATTCTTTGCCGTACCCTTGGCAATAGTAATGCTGCTCAACATCGTTTTCTTCGCTAGTTCTGCTCACATGATATATTCTTCAACGAGTACCACTCGGTTTACGGCCAGCGCCTCTACCCAACGAGACTTTAGGATGTACCTCCGACTGGCAGTGGTGATGGGGCTCACATGGACTACTGGACTCATTGCTGGGACCCTTGATTTCGACTTACTATGGTACCTCTTCATCCTTCTCAACACTCTCCAAGGACTGTTCATATTCCTTGCGTTCACTTGCAACGATAAAGTGATTCGACATTTGGCAGCTCGGCGACGATCAAATCCACAAGTCATTCCCAGATCGTTTTCCTGGTCAACTGACTCAACAATCAAAAAGTCACAAGTGGAATCTGAGCAGACATTTGACACTCTGTATTGAAAATGTACTTTATGTAAATCCACAATATTTAATACTTTAATTTATAAATGATTTTGAATCTTCGTTTTATTGAGAGTTAGCAGATATACTTTGTGAATAAGACTGACTATAGCTGTAAGCATGTCTCAGTTGTACTTGTGATAAATAAGATATATATTTTTAATATTTAATTTTATAAGGACACAACCAAAAAACTTAATTAATCTAATTTTTTTTATTATATTGCACTTATAGATTTTGAATTGCTCTACTTTTTTAATTTTTTTTTTTTGTTACCACCTTTAGTGCCTTTAAGAATTGTTTGTTTTTGTGACAATCTTTTGTGAAAAAACTTTTAAGTTCTTCTTGAGAACTTTATCTTCCATAAAATGGATTATTAACATTAACATATTTAATTCAGCAATTCTTGTTACACTTTACCTGTTTGTCCTAAATTTTAATATTTTAGTATATTGCTGAAACCCTGATGATATTTTTTTTTCACATTAAGCCGCTGTAGCAAGGCAAAGAAGTAGTAAAAATAAGAATTATATAGATATGTAAAAACCTAGGTATTAGATAAATTAAATAAGAAAGAAAGCTACACTTCTTTTATTGACAATAGACAGACAAATTAAAGGGTGTTCTTTGTAAATACATCTGTAATCTAAAATAGAATCCTTGTTAACTAACAAGAGGAGGTTACGAAGGTGAGGTCACCGAATTAAATGAAACTTTTTTTTGTGATAATAGATCGAAAAATATTACACCCATGTCCACGGATTCTCACCAATGCGGTCTAGGAATCGAGAAAAAAATAACATTTTATATAATTTAGAATTAAATTTTGCCTTTACTTTGTCCAGATTTTTAGTCTATTATGTACCAATTGATTACTTTTTTTTGCGAAAAATAAGAAAAAAAATATTGATTGTAGTAGTAAATGAGTTATTAAGTATTATAGACAATAAAAACTAAAAGGGTCTTCCAGTAAATTAAGCTATTTAGAGTTTTGCTGAGACAAATATTTATTACAGTATTAAATGAATTATTAAGTATCATAGACAATAAAAACATATGCAGGGTTTTGCTTTGAAAAAGAAAGTTAGATTCGTTTTTAGCGTTTCTTAAAACTCATAAATCCGAATTTTTATAGATAACAAAAATTAAACATTTTAGTACTTTATTTTCTCGTCTTTGTTTTTCCGGCTATCGACTAAAGCATGCATAACTTCTCAAGATTTTATCCAAATTCAATGTTAGTGCAACCATTGGAGAGCTGAATTGCCGCTCTTCTAAACAACGGCAATTGATTTTGTAATGGGCTGGTGTTTTAATTAGTTTATGGAGATCGCATTCATACAATTCTGTGTAGTATAAAGAGCTCTAAGTCACAAACAATTTTGGTGTGATTAGGTGGAATCGTTCTGAAGTTATCCTAACGTTTGTGGTAGGCAAGGAAATTTCAAAGGACCCACCCTAGACAAAAATTTCATGCAAAAATTTTAATGTTTCAATTACTATGAAAATTCGCATTTTTTAATTTTTCGGAGCGTAGAAAATTAATACCAATTCGTTTCTCCCTAAAAAAATATTTACCCCTATATACCCAAGTTAGTAAGTCAAATTTATTCCCATACGATAGATAACAGCCAAATATATTTTTTATCTAAGCCAGTCTGGTATCTACAGTAAAGAATTTTTTAGGGAGAAAGAAATTTGATATTTGTTTCCCTCACTCCGAAAAACTCTAAAATACAAGTTTTCATATCAATCGAAACATTAAAATTTTTCACGTCAAATTTTGTCGCCAACCAAAAAAACTAGGATACCTTCAGAACGACTCCCTATACGAACATTATAAGAGAGTTAGGACTCCATATGCTAACAGAGTGGTTTAAACGCGACCTCCGCAACCAAATTAAAACCAAAGATATAAAATAGAAATACTTCAGAGGTTTTTATAAATTTCTAGCTTAAAAAGGAATGAATTCCAAAACCACTCTATATGGTTTGGCAGAGCGGCAATTCAGCTTTCCAAAGGTTATACTTACATTGGATTTGGATAAAATCTTGAGAACTTATGCATACTTCATTAGTTAACGTCGAAAAATCAAGTACTAAAATTTACGATTTTGTATATTTATAAAAATTTGTATTTATGAGATTTAATGAAATTATGACTGGTTCAGAATGCTGCAAAGATGGTTTAATGAACAAGAAAACGGGACTAAAATTGGAAGGGTTACCTAAAATACCAAAGTAAATCCAAACCGTCCTTCATTTCTTCGTTTTACTGTTCTGGCATTAAAGTCTCTGGGTCATAACAACCAAAAATTAAATTTGGGGTTAGAAAAACCAAGAGGTAAGGTTAGTTAGTGGTCGAACACATCATAATTGATATTAATTTGAAATCTTTTTTTAAATAAACATTCACAATTGATAACTAGTTAATGATATTCAATATATAACCTACATTTCAGTAGCAATCAAAAGAAAATTGTTGGTGTTTATGAAGTTTAAATGGAATTAAATTATCATTAATTACAACTATATATGTATTCAAGGGTGCCTCCCCCCCAAGATCGATGGCACATGAATCATCCCCCTCTCCAAAAATGTTATTACTCTCCTCTTCTTAAAAACAGTGCAAGCGAAAATATAATTAGAAAAATCTTATATCATAAATAATTACACTATTTCTGTTCCTTGTTGTCCTCTTAGTTCTTAGTTTTCCAATTAGTCCCTATTTTGAAACTTTTTTCTCCAAAAATTCATAACTCCGTCAGAATGTGCCCCCTGAAAAGTTTAAAATTCTGTCAAAATGTGCCCCCCTCGAAAACTTCGGTGGCGCAACTTGCGTCATGAAACTCCCATCTGGGCACCCCCTGTATGCATTGGTATCTCACATACTAAAGATAAAGATGACCCCAGTTTCAAACTTGTATAATTTAGTGCGAATCATTTGTTTTTTACAATGGCTGGTTATCTTAGATCTTAATGAAAGTTTTATTTTTATCTTTAATATCTAGATAATCAAATTATTATAAAGTACCAGTAGCTAGTAAGAATAAATTATTAAATCTATCTGTACCTCAAAATACTTTGTATAGATTGTAAATAAAAATTGTATATAGCATATAGTTTATTACTAACCTTCCCTTACAGTATATAAGAATGTTGAGTTAAGAATCAAAAACGAAAATCAAATTTAACGTTTGGGTGCAATAAAACTAGACATTTTCTAAGTTATTTTCTTCTTTATGTTAGTATTATATGGATATGGAATAATCCGTTTCTTTTTTTATACTTTGTTTAGAAACCATAGAAGAATATAAATCATATTTATTTTTAAAAAAGGTGAAAAATTGATTTTTTTTAACATTTCATTTATGTGCTTATCTATCTTTATAATATAATAATGAAATGAAATGAAAATAGATTATTATTATCCTGGGACTGTTGTCACTGCAACGAAATACTACAGTGCTATGTTCCTGGCCTCACGTTTCTACGGCGAGTAGGGGGTTCCAGAAACCGCATTTATTTGTATTTAATAATTATATTTGTTTTTATATCGGTTCCAGAAGGGAACCGATCTACAGAAAAATAGATTAATTATGTATTTAAATGTTAGATACCACAGACCCCCTACTGTAGTATCCTAGATTGAACCATATAATTTTGAGCGGATTTCTTTTCTAGAGGTATCGTGTTTTTAAATTTACTGTTTGTTTCTATTACTACTTGGTGGCATGCAAGGTAGAATGTAAAATTAACAAGATGGTTTACTAACTATTATATTTACAAATTTAAATAACCAACACAAATATACAATGATATTATCTTCGAGTCTCCTTCCATGTCGCTCTCCTCAGCCTCCGTCTTCCTCCCAGTGTTCAACCGTCCTCGCTTGAGTCCCAACTTGAAGTGTCCTAGCCTGAGTCCCAGTTCTCAGTGTTCAGTCCCAATTCTATATTTCCCACCTTTCTTCATCCCCCTCTCTTTTTGTGCTCTTTTCTGATTGGCTGAATATTCCTAGCCTAAGGGATGACCACGCCCTCTCCCCCAGGCCAAGGTATTCCAGCAGGTACAGCTTTACGTATTTCTGGTGGAAGGTGTGAAAGGTCTTTCTGGAAGGTGTTAATGGTAATTTGGATCCTGTTTAAACACTCAGGGGTGAGACTGTTGTCGGTGATTTGGGTTTTTATTTCCACTTATAAAAGATTCCCCTCGTGGGTCGTTACCCTCGCTCAGGTACCACCAGATGTGAGCACTTATGATATTAATTTATTTATACCTTTAAAATAATTAAATGAATTCCACCGGCGGTCTTTATAATACATAGCAACAGTTTTTTGCCGTAACGATCCCTTTTCTGGCTCTCAGGAGCGATGTTTTTTAATGAATGAGATATCAAACGAAAGGGGATTGAAAGGAGCAGTGACGAATCATAGTAACATCTACCCGAAATTTCAGGGGAAAAAGTTATGAATGAAAAGAAAATTTATTTGTGAATTACTTAAAAAGTGTACTTTTTTCTTTAATAGACCAATTGTTATTTGAAAATTTAATAAATTCTCTACTAAACGAAAAAAAACAAACATGGAAATCGGACCAATATTTACAAAGATACAGCCTATTGTAATTTATGTATTATTGCTTTTGATATTGTTTTCAAAGAAGTGTCATAAAATAGTAATTATCATTTTTACACATACGATTTTCGAAAAATACTTTCATAATTTCTGATATTTATGTATTAAAAGATGACTGACAATTTTTAAGATTAAGTAATTGCCTTTTAAAGCCTTAAAATGTACAGATTTCAGTTACTGTTTGAGCCCAACTTTATACCTGCGATAGAAAATCTTGATGCCAAAGTTGTCATGGATTCATATAAAAATTACTATTTCCAGCTCTCTGTAGCAACAAATCGAGTGCACCTCCAGTTGAAAATAATAACAGAGATCAGTTGACTTGATATCATCATGAATACGAATCGTACACTCAAGGTTAACATATGAACACCTATAAGCTTCTTTCCTGCGTGGCAAATATAACGGTAATGCACACCTAGACTGAGCGTTGTGTCTATAAAGAACATCGAAATGAAGTGGAGTAGGAAAATAATATTGCTAAAATTTTGAAAAATAACACGAAGACGGCATCAAATTTTTTTTTTTTTTTTTTTTTTTTTTTTTTTTTTTTTTTTTTTTTTTTTTTTTTTTTTTTTTTTTTTTTTTTTTTTTTAAAGATACAAATATGTAACAATTTCTTCATAGCAGGAAAAGTATGCAATTTAAGGTGGATTAAATCCATGAATAATTACAAGATTATAAAATTTCCAGAAAATTAAAAAAAATATTGGAATGCGACCATTATGAGCAAAGATGTATACTACAGTAAACTGTACAAAACTTTTGGTTTATTATTATGAATTAGTAGGCCCGTGCGAAAAATTCGCACAGGATATTGTAAAGTGATCAAATGCTAATTAATAGAAAAAAAAAATAATTGCAACGTATCATAAGAAAGAAATCAATTGTTACTTTATCAATAAATATGATCGACAAAGCAAGAAAAATTAATTTAAAACTTCATTAATGTTCGGAACAAACGTGTATACAGATTTAAATAAGCTATCTCTTTGCAAAAAATTGTCCAATTTCGATGATTTATTTTTCTTTTTGTAGGGAATTTAGTAACATTTTATATAATCATGGACATAACCAGGAACATGGACAGGAAAAAGTGTGTACTTTTTTGGTTATTCGCAAATGAAGTTCCTTTTCTTCCATAACTTGTTTGCCTGAATTTTCGGGGTGATTGGACTATTGGAAGGAGAAGTGAACCATCGAAATTGGTGGATCAACCTTGGGATTTGGTGAAGAATTAACGATGGTATGGCTTACCGATCAAAAACACCATCGATAAGTAATATAAACTCCTCAGCTCTCGATCATAGAGGCCTCAAGTCGATTAAATGATACATGTATTCAATGACAGTACTACAATTAACGTAAGGTTGTGTGGATGTAAACCCTATGCCTTGTGTTATCTCGAAAATAGTACGGTTTGGGGCTTAAAAACGCAGGATTCGATAGTAACGAAGGAACTATACGGGTCTTGCTGTACGCATCAACGTCTTCAAAGCCCAATTTGTTCCGTATCGATCTACAGACTTGCTACCGTTTTAGTGTTGAAGCCTAGAAAAATGTTTGTATCGAATTTATTTATTTTAGAAAGAAAAACAAAAGCAGAGGGTGCTTTCCGCTAATCACCTGTGAAATTCTGAATTCAACGGGTACTCCATTCATGGTATTTAAGCATGACAGGAGCTTATATTTGGTTTAAACCCGATTTCGAGCATTACCGTAATAATGTATGTGGGAATTAACTATTTTATTTCAACCAAGAAAAAGAAAATATATTCCTCCACGTAATAATAGATTCCGTTAACATATTTCAGTACTATTTTATCAATTGTTCACTGACCAATGTTTTATGCGAATTATTTGCACGGGCCAGCTAGTATCTTATATATTATTTCTAAAAAGTGTTTTTTTGTCGGTACTCCATTACATCGTCAATTCTTCATCAAAAACAATAATTTAACACTCATTTTGAAGATATTCTTCTGCTTCACATGCGAAAAATAGTCCTATTCCCCAGAAATTTCTAGAAAAAAATTTCTGGAAGAAAGGAAACTTTATTTGGGAATAACTCAAAAAGTATGACTTTTTTTTCTCGATTGTACCCATGATAATTAGAAGATTACTAAATTATCTATAAAAAAAAATCGTAAAAATCGGACAATTATTAACAAAGATACAGTCCATTAGTTTTAGTAGACTTAATAATGTCTTTCTGTTTAAATATATTGCAATGGTCTACTACACTTTTTTTCCTCGCTGATATATTAACTTTATTATTTCTTAAAGCCATTTGGTTGTTCTTACGTTTAATTTTTTTATAATTTAGAAAATCCTATGATCGGGGTATCATTTTGTCTTTATTACTTTTATTATCTTTTCAGTCAGCGTTTAAAAATAGGCACTAGCACAGAAATCTGTACAAATATTTTGGTCTATTATGTTTAATGGAATATTGTAATCGACCAAGAAAAAAATATTAATTTCTTCCTTCCATAATACATAGGAACTACTTATTTCCATATTGTTTTACTATTTCTTCACAAAACAAAATTTTATGCGAATTTTTCGCAAGGGCCAACTAGTTAATTATTAATATTAATGTCGATAATATTAAATTAATATAATATTTAATTTCAATAATTATACAAAAAATGATAATAAATGAAGCATAAAATGAGGAAGGGAACTATGTTGGAAAATATAACTTTTTAGAAGACACTAAAAACTGACTTTCAAAGAAAGAACCATTATTTATTGCTAAATAAAATACTACAAACTTCTTGACATATTTATACTAATTTCATGAAACTCCCCCATCTTTAAGCACTTAATACTTCACAAGGTATCAGGAACTAGTTATGATTGTTATTATTTTTTTTCATCCAAACCTATAATGATAATAAGGATTGGTAAATAAATGGTTAAGACAACAAAAGAAAGTGACTTAACATTCTGGAATGAATGACTTAAGTTTCAGGACTAGTCGTTGTAAGGATTACAACAATCAAATGTACGATTTTCGTGTAAATATTAATTAAATAGTAAGTAACAACATCATACATCAATGCTGTATACATTAGTATTCAAAATCTAATGACTGAAATACATAAAAATTAAACATTTTTCTCTTTGAAGATTGCAACTTCCACTTAAGTCCGATAATAACATTTAAGGTACAATATATTCTTGAACGAATATTATATTAATAATTGACTAACAGGTGCCTATATTTATTACAGGACATGCGGAAGTAGAGAAAGCTGTGCAGATGTGCTTGCAGAACCGACTGGAACAAATTTGTGGATGGAAAGAAACTGCCTTTGTGACAAAAACTGCATCACTTATGGAGACTGTTGCCCTGATTCCCCACACTTCAAGCAGCAACAACAGCGGCGTGGCGCGATATCTTTCCACTGCGAGAATTTGCGCCAGTATGGTGGCATCTACATGCGCACCACCTGTCCTCCAGAA